ATAAGACTTCTAACAATTATAGTACCTGTATTATCAAAGTTTCAAATTATAACGATGTTTCCACAAGTAACTGTCTACATGATAGATAAAGCAAGAAAGCTTGCTTCGAACGGAGGTAACAATTAATAAATCGCTATACAGTGCATAACTTTTTAGTCATTTAATAATTAATTCTGTTTAATTCACGTGAGAGCTTTATTTTATAATCTATTTCTAGGAATTTATTGTGAGCCAGACAAATACAACGGGCATCCAATAGATACAAAAACGAAAGACATAGTTATGGAATATTTTTTAAATGACGACTTTAATTGTTCAAGACAAAGTCCAAATAAATCAGATGTTATCACGGTGATGGAAAATGGTGAAAAAGTAAAAAAAGTAAAGCGCTTCATGACACGAAGCATGAAAGAAGTTTATGTTCTATTGAAAAAAGAGAATCCTGGAATAAAAATCAGTAAATCGAAATTTTATTCCATGCGTCCGAAGTATGTTTTGATAAATCCATTGAATGATGTGTGCTTATGTATATATTGTGCTAATTTTGAACTTCTCCTAATCGCTTTGAAAAATTTCATCGGTCAAAGTAGTGTCGAGCTTTCAACTTTGCGCTCTAAAGTCCTATCTTCTGTTATATGTTCATCAACCACAGAGTTTTGTTATTTTAAAGAATGTGATTCATGTCCTGGTGTTAAGGGTGTGAATTTTGAATTACTGGGGCTTGATAAATTAAACATTGAAAAAAATATAACTTTCGCTGTGTGGAATAACGGCAATTTAGAAACTCGTTCAGTATCTATGACCACATTCATGGAAGAGTTAGCCAATCATACAATCACAATAACTTCTCATTTACGTATCAAAGAGGTACAGCGAATGGAAATCAAAGCTGAGAAAGAAAGGGTGACGTTAAATTATCAACATTTGCTGATGCATATAGATTTTGCTGAGAATTGGTCTGTAATTTTGAAAAATCCAGTTCAAGGGAATCATTGGGTGAATAAACAGATTTCAATTTTCACTGCTGTTTGCTACATAGGCGGAATTACAAAGAGTTATACTGTAATTAGTGAAGACTTAAAACATGATTATTCTCATGCATTGGCAGCAATACAAATAATTCTTGAACATATAACTAGATACACACAAGAAACGTATGGAAATTCGATTGATTCTATAACTTTAGTATCTGATGGCGCTGCAAGTCATTTCAAAAATAGATTCCAGTTAAATGAATTTTTAAATGCAAGTATGAGTAAAAAATGGATATTCTCTGCTACTGGTCATGGAAAGGGTGCTGTAGATGGTATAGGTGGTTTGGTAAAGCATTATGCAACAGTGCATAATTTACGCAGTACTGAATCTGATGCTATTCAAACTGCTAAAAGTTTTGTTGAAAATGTATCAAAATACACAACTTCTATAGAGCTGATTTTGATGGAAACTGCAGAGATAAACAATTTTCGTAGTAGTCAAATGGAGCAAAGACACAAATGCCAGAAATATCAGGGTATTCAACGTTGCCACATGTAGAAATCTGTTGTCTCGAAAGGGAGGAGCGAATGTTTTATAGCTCAAACGGCTGCGCATCCATGGATTGAAGTGAAAAAAGATGAAAAAAAAAAAAGAAAAGTACTCATAAGAAGAAAAACGAAAATGTAAACAAGGGCAAGAAAGTGAAAGTTGTATCTAAAAAAGTGAAGAGAGTTGTAAAAGTAATCAACTCAAACAGAAAAAAATGATCGTGTAATTTTACATTTCTTGCAGACATGATTGAATAAAAGTGAGCTTTTTCTTTGAGTTACATATTATTGTAGTTCAGTTATTAACCTACATAGTCGCTAACATGAATTCCTGAATGTATTTATCGCGTTTGACTTGAAAATGTAAAACTTTTTTTTTAAATTTTTTTAAGCGATATAACGAAAAAACAGCAAATTTTGATCGAATGGATTTGAAGGTATTGGTACTAAGAATATATAAAAAAAATTTGAGCGCAAAAAATTATGGCCTTTTTGAGATACACAATTTTTTCTCCAAGATGCACTTTTTCGAAAACATGCATTTTCTCCCGAAAAATGCATACATTCATATTTTTGATAAATTAGACTTGAAGAACTTCGTTTCTACTATAGATGACATAAAAATTATTTAATTGTATCGAAAAATAAAAAAAATATTGAGGAAACCAAATTTAATTGGAAAAATTTTCTCAATTTTCCCTTTTCAGCAGTGCATTTTCCGATTGCATTATTGACGGAACTATGCATCTGAGAGAAAAAAGAAAAATACGGGTCCTCTTATTTTTGACCTAGAACAATAAAAAAATACTTTGGAGTAGCTTGGTGACAGATGTGTGGGGAGCTCTGTATGATCTGAGATGGAATTGGCCATATGTAACGTCGGGCCGTTTATTAGCCAATTATTTTTTTTTTCCTCATGTACTTTTGTATAGCTTAAATTTTAACTCGGTAAATTAGCAAAGGAGAGCCTTCAGCTGAAGCAGCTGGAGGACACGTGAAAATAGTCGTCCCTTTATCGCGCGCTTTCCGATGTTTACCTCGAACGATCGTAAAGTTTTTTTGAGTAGGTTTAGATAAAGAGTAAAGGAGCCGCGGAATTCCACCTGCATCCTGTTATTCGATTTCACCCAAAAGATTTCCACTTTTAGAAGTCAAAACTTTTGCTATATAAAAAAAAAACCTTAATAACTAATTTTACATAAATGAATCGGGAAAATAACAGCATGATAGGAAAATTTCGCAGCTTCTTGAAATCTCCCACACACTTTTTGATTAGAAACATAGTTGCCGCGCAATCATTGAAAATAACTCAAAGTTTTAAAATTACAAATTAGAAAAATGAGGTAAATAGTCGAAAACAGTTACTTGAACGAATTTGAGCAAATCAGTTATATAGTCCACAATTAAATAATACCCTTTTTTCGTTCCAATTTATTTAAACAACGAAGTGAGTTAATTAATTAAGTTACTAATTGTAAACATGTAGGATCAAAAGATTTTCGCGTAAAATATGTTAAATAATAAGGAACTTGCGTTATTTTTAAGAATTAATTGTAATAATTTTATATAGTAAATAAATTAATAATTATAAGAGAAACTGTAATAAAAATGGTACTTGGAGAGTCATCTAGCGAGATAAGGCCCAAACTCTTGAACGCGCGCCCCCAATTCTCACCGCGCCCCCGAACCAATTAGGGCCCGAAATCCGAAAGAGAAAAGGAGGGAAAATCTCGGTTGGCCAATTAGAATTCACTGGCATTTCCACTCTTCCCAAATTTTGAGGGACTGAAAGAGGGATTTTCCTCCCAACCACCCCCAGGGTTTAAAAGTGCGTGCGTAAGCGAAAATCGCTCTCTCTCACGCTCCTCGCAAGGCTCTAAGTGCATCTCATTGACCAAGTGCGAGGTCCAGATTGACTTCTCCCAGTACCAGTGAATTAAATAAAAGAAAAGTAAGTTGAAACAAAATTTTATTCACTATCTCTCCTTTTCCTCTTCTTGTTAGAGTAGCCGATCGAAACTCGTGAGAAATAGGTCTTCGAAAAAGTATTTCAGCAGGAATTGGGATACTTTTTCAATAAGACAGTCGCGCCGTTAAATAAAAATTAAAATACTTTTTATGTGATAATTCCGGCAAGGTTTGGGATTTTCACATCCAAGTCCCGATTCCATTGGACCCTGGTGTTTGATGGAAGGCTTGTAGTCCAGTTTATTTTTCACTATTTTTACGCGAAACGCGAAGTAGAAAAGCTCTAATTCTCCAATCGCTCGTCCCGACTTAAGCGTACGCACGCAAACCAAATAGAGCGCCTGAGATTACGTCCGCCTCAGACGTACCTGAGATAGTGACCCGGACGTCACAATATATAGATTAACGGGAAATTTAGAAGTATTTAATTGGTTTTGAATGAATTATTTCCTTTTAATTTAAATATTTCGAAAAACCAATAATTAATTTAAATCAGTTAAGTAGGACTTTCATACATACTAATTGAATCTTGATTTTATAATTAACAACAATTAATTAAAAATGGTTTTATTTATTAATCACATGTGGTTTTTTTAAATTAATAGTTGTTGAAGTTACGCCCCAATTCTTAAGCAAAATGTTAACAAATTACATTAATACAAATAAATACAAATTTAGAATATTAGTTGATAACCCGATAATTGTAAGTTTTTCGTTAGCAAGCTATAATTTAAATTTGAATCAAAATTTTATTATCATGTCAATTTATTTTAAGCAAAACTCAAACAATAAAAAAATTATTATAAAATAAATATTAATTTCACAATTTCAATAGACAATGTTAAATTACAACTAATTTCTGTAACCTTTGTAAGAATTAACGTAAGTTTGTATTTTTATATGAGAGCTAATAGTAAGCTTTGCACGCAATTGGAATTGTAATAATTAAACGAAAACCAATAATATTAATAAAACTCAGACTAATTCGATACATGTCACGCCATCCATAGCAAAAATTAAAAATCGGAAAATGTCCGCACATACAAGGCCTTTCCTTAATTTAAAAACGGGCACCCGATTAGAAAACGAATTTTTCTATTCGCCTAGTTGCTAGATGTTATGCAGCTAAATATATAAGAAGCCATTGTTAATCATTTTGCTTCATCTAAAATGAAATGAACTCATTATCAGCTATTTTTTAGAATGAAGATTAAATAAGGCACAAGTCCTGTGGAAAAATATACTCGTATGTTTAACAGCGACTGCAAGCTCATTTGCGAAACATATGCGTCTGTGTGCACGTACGTAGTGCTCACTTTAATGCCGTTGGGTGAGATACTTACTGCTTTCAGAAAAAACGAACTAGAAGGTTCTTCTGAGAAATAAGTTTTTTTCTTTTTACTTAAATCGCCTTTATTACATTCTCCTCACTTTAGTCGAAAATATTGCATAAATGATTAAAAAACTACTATTTTATTTATTGAAACATTCTTAGATCATTTATTTCAGTTTTTTAGATGACCTGGATCGATTGGGTTCAAAAGACTACCAACCAACGGAGCAAGATATTTTGCGCACTAGAGTTAAAACAACAGGAATTGTAGAAGTCCATTTTTCATTCAAAAATTTGAACTTCAAGTGAGTTTTAAACATTTTTAATTTACATGGTAATGGTTATTTTTGAAAATAAAAATAATCTGAAAATTTTAAGCAATTTTTTCACATAAACATTTAATCGAATAAAATGGATGCGTCACTTCTATTCTCGTCAGGTCGTTAAATATTATTACTAAATACTATTGAATTCTGGATGTGTTTGTGCGTGTGCATGTGTGTGTGTGTGCGTGAGCGTGCGTAATCAAATAACACACGGTTTCTAATAAAATCACAGTAAATATTGAGGTAAACCATATTTTATGTCTTTTTAGATCCTATCCAAACCAAATAAAAAATATTTTTAAATAACAGTTAGCATTTTATATGAGCATTTTTATCAAAAATCAACAGAGGCGTGAAAACTCGCACAACTGAGGTAGGTAAACTAGAAAGACCTCAGCTCAAGGGATATCAGCTCACTGAGCTGAGGTCCCCCAAGCTAATGCCCGTGCATTTAGACATTGACACTGTCAACTTACCTTCCCCCTTACTGAGCTGATGCCCGTGCTCCCTCAGCTGATGACCGTGCGTGCTACATTCCACACTTTTAGTTCATTGTCTGTATGTGTGTGTTAAATTTTTAGACATAATAAAGAAAATTTTATTTATTTAATAATCATTTATATCAGCAAATAACATATTGAATTATAATGACGTATCGAAAGAAGGCTTTGTTATAATTAAAAAAAACGTACGGACAGATTGAGGGATTGAACCCGCGTTCTCTAGATCCGCAGGCCAATGCTTTACCACTAGTACCACGTACAGTTCTTATTGTGTATATTAGCTACACGATTGGTATAGGGCCCAAGCGCTAATATATATACTCGTAAATAATAATTATTTATATATATATTTTTTTGCAGTTCAACGTGTATGTAAATGTGTGTATGTCATCTACCGAAGATGGTTTCATAAAAAAAGTCCAAGTACTTGTGAATACCAAAATGAAAAATATGCAACACTTGTTTACTTACTCCTGTTTACTTTCTTTTATTTGTAGCCTTCGTGGTTGTAAACTACTATAAATAGTACAGCATCAGAATCATCGCATCGTTCGTCAACCAGTATTCCAATAAAATGGATCGCTACCCTAAATTAATGTACTTTCGTCTTCCACAAGAAAACCTAGACGAAAAGAACAATCATCGACACGGAAACAAACTATTTCCAAATTTTCGAGCAATACTAATAATTTTCCTGGACAAAAAGGCTATCAGCAGTTCAGTAACAGAAAGAAGGACTAATAATCACACGTACATATGTCATCATTATACATCACCTCAACTATAATAAATATTTTTTTTTAATCTAAATTCTATGTTCTATAAATTTTTTTATTCATAAAAATACAAAATTTATTATAAAGAGATTATCTGCTGCTGCTGCTGCTGTCATAGTCAGAATCAGTGTAGAATTTCGCTTTTTTGGATGATTTTGTGACGGCTAGCCGTAACTTAGTTTTTTATTTAATTATTAAATATGACGAACGGAGTGGGAACCTTCCTGATTTCCCACGATGAAAACGCATTCGAAATATAAACTTTGATAGTGGCCCGAGCCTGCGTACTCAAGCTTACAATCAACGCTCTGTCCTGCTTTGTCCCACACGTATGTGTTGACCGGGGCCTACGATCATCGCGTATACATCGTGAAGTGTTATCACGGTGATAATGGAAGGGGACCATAAAAATGCAATCTATCTTTTTTTTCCCACCGATTTTTAAGAAAATATCCGTAATATTAAATAGATTTTCAACAATTTTGTAAGCTATTATAATGCGCATCTTTTTGTCACCGAATAACCAATAAATAGAACAATAATGTATTTTATAATAAATCGTAAAAGGTTTGGATTTTTCTGAATGTTTATAATAATCACTATGTATCGTTGTAATTAATTAAGTTTAGTACGATTATGTATAAGTAATTATAAACTATAGCGTTACTCTTGCTCTTAAAAGTGGCACTCCGAGAGCCATCTCTGGAGAAAAGGGTCCAAGTTAAAAAGGGACCGCCCTTTCTCTCTCTGAAAATTCACGCCCACAGACCAATAAAGAAATTCTGGATATGATTAGAAAATTTCCCACCAATACAAAATTTGGCCGTTATCGCTTCATGGGCCTGAGGAAAGGGATTTCCACCCAACCACCCACGGCTTATAAAAAGCTCTGTACAAGAATGGAGAGAAAGTTAGAGTAAGTGCGGAGTGAGCACCAGGAAGTCCATAATAAGAAGTGTTTACCAGTGAGTGAGTCCCGGAGGAAGCATCAAAGAAGAAAAGTCACCTAAGTATATTCAGAGCATATAGACAGAGAAAGAGGCCAAAGAGCAGAGAGAACGCAACTTTAATAATAAGTGATTTGATAAAATAAAAGTAAGTAAAATCATAAATCTGGCTATCCTTTTCTTTCTTTAAGTAATCCGCCTTTCTTTTGGAAATTCATTAAGCGTGAGTCTGGTGTGTTCGTAATAACATTTGGTTATTACATTCCGCGTTAGCATACAGTTTTCTCAACGCAACAATATTGCTCGTCCCGGATTATGTGTTACACGATAGCCAAATCAGAGCAACCCTGAGTTTACGCTTACTCCAAGCGTACCTGAGAGTGACCCCGACGTCACAATTTAATAAAAAATAAAAGAACATTTCTGTTTCAATTCAAAAAAATTTTTTTATTGATAAAAATATATCTTATTCTTAAAAATACATGTTAATCTATAAATTAACTACTTAAAACAATCACTATAGAAATACGAGGTGTGTTCAAAAAGTACCCGGAAATATCGTTTTTCCAAAAAAATATTTATTTATTCGTTTACATCAATGTGGTCCCCTTTAAAGTAATCCCCCCAGATATAATACACTTATGCCAGCGTTTTTTCCAATCTTCGAAGCACTCTTGATATTCACTTTTTGGTATGTCCTTGAGCACTCTCAGCGATTCGGCCTTTATTTCTTCAATCGAGGAAAAACGGGGTCAACCCCTTTCATGGGTCTCTTCAACTTTGGGAAAAGAAAAAAGTCACATGGAGCCATATCTGGTGAATATGGAGGTTGGGGCACGACTACGGTATTGTTTTTGGCCAAAAAATTACGAACAAGCAACGACAAGTGAGCAGGTGCGTTATCGTGATGCAAAAGCCATGAATTGTTTTTCCATAAATCGGGGCGTTTTTTTCGGATTGCTTCACGCAAACGTCGCATAACTTCAAGGTAATACTCCTCATTAACCGTATGACCTTGTGATAAGAACTCATGATGCACCATGCCCCTGCAGTCAAAGAAAACTGTAAGCAAAACCTTCACATTTGATCGAACTTGACGTGCTTTTTTCGCTCTTGGTGACGTTGAATGCTTCCAGGTGGACGATTGTACTTTGGTTTCGACATCATAACCGTACACCCATGTATCATCACCAGTTATGACTCTTTCAAGCAATCTTGGATCGTCGTTGACGTCGTTTAACAGCTCCTGAGCGATGTTCATGTTTTGTTGGTCAAAGTTCAGCAGTTTTGGAATGAATTTTGCTGCCACCCGTTTCATGCCCAAAACATTTGAAAAAATGTTATGACATGAGCCAATTGGTATGCCAACTTCATCAGCAACTTCTCTAATTGTGATTCGGCGATCATTCAGAACCATTTTTTCCACTTTTTTCACATTTTCATCGATTGTGGACGTGCTGAATCGACCGGAGCGTTCATCATCTTCAACATCTTCGCGGCCATCTTGGAAACGCTTATACCACTCATAAACACTTGTTTTTTTTCATAGCAGACTCACCATAGGCTTTTTGTAACATTTCACACACTTTGTTACACTTTATTTCATTTTTTACGCAAAATTTAATACAAATTCTTTTAAAAAACGAAAATCGCCGAGCTCATAAAAACACGTCAAACTTTAGCGATTACCGCAGACAAAGTAAACAGTGAATATAGCTGAAAATTTTATCATACTTCAGGGGCATGTATACCAACACAATAAAATTTTGACAATCCGACTCTCCAGACCCGCGAAATTAAAAAATTCCGGGTAGTTTTTGAACACACCTCGTACTTCAACGACTGGATCGCTCTCTTCCCAATCCATGCAACAACCATCTGCGTAAAACGTCTTCATTAATTTAACGTTCTGTTATGCACATATCGTTATGTACGTATTTGCGTTATGACTAGGGCACACGGTAACTGATTTTACTTCTTCGAAAGGTAAATAACCTTAATCATTTAAGTCGAAAACTTTGAAGCCGTATCGTTTTATCCACTCTTTTTTGAGATCTCCGGAAATGAAAATTTTTGTGGCATCTTTGAATGTATCTGTGATGATGAATTTATGCTCTCCGTATTTATGATCGCCATAGTTCCATGTTAATCGATAAAAGTAGAGCTATAACCAGAGATTTTGTCGCTGATATTTTTCCGTTATTCTTAGCCATGGAAAGGAAGGTTTGAACAAGCGTACGAGGGATTCGTCCTTGTAGTTAAGAGGAAGTATCACTAACTCTGTCACAGCATAAGTTTTACCAGGCATCATGAAGCCTTACATATCTACTACGTACTACATTGTAATTGAAAGCTACTACTGAAATGCTTAAGGAAAGAATCAATTCTTTAATAACCCTTCCCCCTCCTAAATAAGTTTTTTCACAACTTCGTTTACGGATTATACTGAACGATGCGATTGTGTAGAATAGGACAATATGTTGTAGTTCCTTCAAGAATATTTTCTCTGGTTTCTCTCTTGCTTGAACATCCTTGTCGATCTTCTTTGTTTGACAAACTGTATTTACATCGGTACTCGATCTTATGAGAATTAATTCATGTTTCATATTCACTAACACTTTACGATAGTCCTCAGCGAATCCAAGTATGAAGCTCAGAGTAATCAAAATATTACAGTCATATTTCGCAATAGTTATTTTATGGTCTTCCTGTTCTATATTTATCTATCTGGCATTTTCGGCAGTAAAAGTTTG